ATAATATAATTAGAATATTCAGGTGATAAGTCAATGGCTCCCAAAATGCAATGTGCAAAACATTTTCTCTGATTGAATTTATTGACTGAAGTTTATTCAAACCATTTATATTTAACTTAAATAAAATATATATAAAGTGTGTTTTAATATATATTTTAATATTTGATGGTGTAATCATTGGATAAAGTATATTTTTATATTTTTATATGTATAAAAACTAATTATTTCAGTAAAATAAAAAACACCTTAAAGTAATAAACATACAAATTTGATGACGTAAAATTTACTTGGGGCCAAATCATCTCTACCCTTATTTGACAAGCAGGCAACATAATGCATCAAAAATGTTTAAATCTATCCAACAGTTACACTTTAACAAGTCAGTGTGAGACAGAGAGTAAATAAAAACCCAGAGGAAGAGTACTAGTAGAAGAGAATGTAAATAAAAGACAAATTCCTTAGGTAGCGTGAAACTCAATTTGTGGAATGTAAGTGGAAAAACAAAGGGTTTAATACATAAGAGGAAGCAGAGAGTTGCACAAGACGTTAAAAAGAGATATGGAAAGTCAAACGATTGATGTATGAGGGAGAAGGAAACAGCAAGCACAGGGTAATGGGTTAAGGGAGGCAGAAGGACATAGTCAAAAGTTCTCCTTTACCCGTCTGTGTTCTTAAGTGAACTAGTGGAGCGAGACCGGGGCTTCATGATAATGCTCATTCTGGACGCGGATTTCCCTCTGCTAGCGGCTACAGCTAATCCCAGCAGTGTGTGTTTGTTTTCAGTCCTCACGTGAGTCTCCAAGCATGAACATGACTCGGTCGAGACGGCCCTGCCTCTGTTTGGTCCACTGACAGGAGCCCCTCGTGTCCCGGGACTCTCTAACTGACCGGGCAGGCGTTCCAGTGTTTCTGTCACTCCACAACCGGCTGCTATAATTCAAGATAATCCGTCTCTCCCCCACTCGCTCTCTCTCTCCTGAAACTCCCACCCTGTGTACTTTCCTCCCTCCCTTCCTGGCTGGCTGCAGGGCTCACTGCTTGGACTCATGTAGTAATGACGTAGTCGGGGGTAGGGCGCTCCTCGTGTTTGATATGACTGAATGGAGGAGGCAACTTAACACCTCAACTTTTGAGGTTTCAGATGACAGGGAAAAATGAAAGGAAAGGGATCCCAATGGATGGGAAGGAGTTGCCCAGTAGTATGAATTCACACTGAGTCAAAAGATTTAGTGTGTATCTGCACATCCTGTGAAGCCTGGAAATTCAAAACCCCTTCATCCACACGAGTCATTCACAATGAACTTATTAAAAGCACTTTCACGTACTGTGCAATGACCAGCATGTAATAATATAAGAGTCATTTAACGGCCAAAACAGACAACAAGGGCTCTTCAAACATCACTGAAAGGTAAAAAAAAGACTAGTACTCAATGTCATGTACCACTTTTCGATTAGAGTACTCTTCAACAAAGAAAATCGAACACATGTGGCTGTGCTTGACTAGTTTGTTGGCGCTAGTCTAACGGTTCACACATAAACTCATGCCAAGGGCCCTTAGAGGTGTTACAGTGACGCATAACACGTGTCAACCAATGACAGGGAAGCAGGGAGTATCGCTTGCAGCTCTGCTCACTTGATGGTTTCAATAAACATTTAGACAACAGGCTTGATTTTATCTTCAGAGAAAGTTTACAGATCTGATCATGAAGTAATTAGTTTGGGAGAAATTTGTCAATGCTAAATTATAACAAATTAAAAAAGATACTAGACTTTAAAAGACTTTAATGGTGAGTGTGTGTTTGTTTCACTCCATATAGACAGCAGAGTAATCACACAATATCAACAGCTGATACAAGTTTGTGCACATTGTTGCCCCCCTGTGTTCACAAGAAATTAAAGCAGATAGTACTAGATAAAATCAAGAACATTTCCTAACAAAGTCAATTATAGAGTGTAAAAACAGAATGTAAACACAATTAAGTATTCATTGTAGGTGCTGTGGAATTAACCAACCAAATCACTGATGATTCACAAGTTGACACACTTTTTACTCCGGTGAATATTTCTTATTCTTTTTTTTTTAAAGTATATTACTATATAAATACACCCTATGAAGTCTGAACTATAACTATAACTATAAAAATAATAAATATAAAAAAAAAAAAGTATTATTTTATTTATAATTTTATGGTGTTGATAAACACCAAGAAAAAACAAAAAACAACAAGCAGTAAAAATAGCTAAATTCAAAGAAGAAGAAGAAAAAAACAGATTAACTGGCTTAGTTAGTAATGTGTAACGGGGCCGGCTGCTATAATTCAAGATAATCCGTCTCTCCCCCACTCGCTCTCTCTCTCCTGAAACTCCCACCCTGTGTACTTTCCTCCCTCCCTTCCTGGCTGGCTGCAGGGCTCACTGCTTGGACTCATGTAGTAATGACGTAGTCGGGGGTAGGGCGCTCCTCGTGTTTGATATGACTGAATGGAGGAGGCAACTTAACACCTCAACTTTTGAGGTTTCAGATGACAGGGAAAAATGAAAGGAAAGGGATCCCAATGGATGGGAAGGAGTTGCCCAGTAGTATGAATTCACACTGAGTCAAAAGATTTAGTGTGTATCTGCACATCCTGTGAAGCCTGGAAATTCAAAACCCCTTCATCCACACGAGTCATTCACAATGAACTTATTAAAAGCACTTTCACGTACTGTGCAATGACCAGCATGTAATAATATAAGAGTCATTTAACGGCCAAAACAGACAACAAGGGCTCTTCAAACATCACTGAAAGGTAAAAAAAAGACTAGTACTCAATGTCATGTACCACTTTTCGATTAGAGTACTCTTCAACAAAGAAAATCGAACACATGTGGCTGTGCTTGACTAGTTTGTTGGCGCTAGTCTAACGGTTCACACATAAACTCATGCCAAGGGCCCTTAGAGGTGTTACAGTGACGCATAACACGTGTCAACCAATGACAGGGAAGCAGGGAGTATCGCTTGCAGCTCTGCTCACTTGATGGTTTCAATAAACATTTAGACAACAGGCTTGATTTTATCTTCAGAGAAAGTTTACAGATCTGATCATGAAGTAATTAGTTTGGGAGAAATTTGTCAATGCTAAATTATAACAAATTAAAAAAGATACTAGACTTTAAAAGACTTTAATGGTGAGTGTGTGTTTGTTTCACTCCATATAGACAGCAGAGTAATCACACAATATCAACAGCTGATACAAGTTTGTGCACATCGTTGCCCCCCTGTGTTCACAAGAGATTAAAGCAGATAGTACTAGATAAAATCAAGAACATTTCCTAACAAAGTCAATTATAGAGTGTAAAAACAGAATGTAAACACAATTAAGTATTCATTGTAGGTGCTGTGGAATTAACCAACCAAATCACTGATGATTCACAAGTTGACACACTTTTTACTCCGGTGAATATTTCTTATTCTTTTTTTTTTAAAGTATATTACTATATAAATACACCCTATGAAGTCTGAACTATAACTATAACTATAAAAATAATAAATATAAAAAAAAAAAAGTATTATTTTATTTATAATTTTATGGTGTTGTTAAACACCAAGAAAAAACAAAAAACAACAGGCAGTAAAAATAGCTAAATTCAAAGAAGAAGAAGAAAAAAACAGATTAACTGGCTTAGTTAGTAATGTGTAACGGGGCTGACGAGACGAGAGGCGTGCGGATCCATGTGCAAGCTTTTATTCAAGAGACGTGGTATAACAGGCAGGGTAGAACAATGGCAAACAGGTATATGGCGGGCAAAACACAAGAATAGTCCTAGGGCTAGCATAGGTCACCGATCGGCAGACAGAATCACAGGGGCGAGACGAGAGGGAAAAATCCAGGAAAATAGGCAAAGATCAGAAACCGCAAAAACAGACAAGGCAAAACAAGGAAAACACGGAGACTTGGAAAGGGGTACAGGCTAAACAATACTCCGCCGAGAATGGTGGTTTGAGTGGGTGTTATATAGTGAGTGAGGTGATAAGAAACAGCTGTGTGCAATGAGTGCAATCAGTGCAGTGTGCAAATCGTGCAATGAATGATGGGATATGTAGTCCGGGGTGCTATGCAACAGTTTGTGTTGTGCGAGAGTCAATGTAAAGGAAAGGGTGACCTCTGGTGGTGAATAAACGACAGTCCATGGACCGAATTCGTGACAGAGCAATTATTGAACATTTCTACCATTATTAATTAGAAAAAAAGATTTTATTTATTTAATGATTTATTGATGTAGGGGCATGTTGTCACACTATATCAGGTAATGAGAACTTGCTATATTGACAATTAATTGAAATGCATTTATTTATTTATTTTATTATTATTATTTTGTCTAAAGTAAAAAAGGATGTATTCCACATTTAAAATATTTTCTGTGACTTTTAAAAAAACAAATTTTTTTTTTGCCCAAATCAGCAACAATGACATGATAATTTTCATTTTCATTTCATCTTATATAAATATATAAATCTGCAATCTATCTATATAAATTAATATATATAATAAAAAAGATGCCAATAAACAATAAATTGAAAATAAAATGGGGAAAGGTAATATACCTTAAGATAATAAAAAAAACTATTGCTTCGGCCAGCAGAAATTGTAATAAACAGACCGTTATAAACATTACATCATATAAAACATGTGACAACTAAACCCAATATCAACATGACCCATTTGACATTTATCAAAATTAAGCCATGGTGCAGTTATATAATGTATACCAGTGTGGTTTCATCATGTTTACTTGCTTACACAAGAGCAATTACAAAAATATGCAATCGAAATTTAGCTTGATGGATCCTTAAGACAGTTATAAAAACAGACGACCACTGCAAAAAAAAACAAACAAAAAAAAAAACATTATAACATTGTTGCATTTGTTGATACAGCCCCAACTAGTGTGTACTTTTAACCGGTTAAAAAGGTACACTGTAAGCCATATATCTATCTAATGTGGAAGTTTGTATGTACCTGCGTGACTTGAACCAGCGTTTCCTTTTCTTGCCTTTCAGTGAGTTTATATTAAGCTGGCGGCCATTCCAAGTAAAAGTGCTAAGAAAGAGAGAAAGAGGAGAACCACCAGGAGATTCACTAGCCATGGTGTCCTGAGAAAACTGACAGCTTGACTGACCCCAAATAAGAGAGCTTCAGCTTTGTGTGAGGAAAATGTCCACGTCACTACTCTGACCTCATCCCATAATCCAATAACACCTGTCTGGCCTTCTCGCATTCAGCTGGTATGTCGGCAACACAAGCTTCTGTGCTAGTAAACTGTACATGAAACTATGTCAAAAGTAAAGAAAGTAATCAGCTTTAAAAAAAACAGATTATAGTTTTGTAAACTTAGAACAATTCTATGCATCTTAAAAAAGCCAAAATCTGGAGCCTCCAAACATGCAGTAACTGTTCTTACTTTTGTGGTTAGGGATTAATTTAATTTCAGTTGAGCAAGAACAGGGCTCCAGAACGTGACCAAATTTTGCATTTTGCGACCATTTTTTGAGCCGGTGCAAGTAAATTTTGTGAGCAGTCGCAGTGTCACACTGGCGCGACCACCACGTTGTTCAACTCGCGCTGCCATTTCTGTTGCATATGAGAAACATCAAACGTCAAACGAAACAAAAGCATACGCATCCAAAATAAAAGTTTTTGTTTACATAATATATGCGTGTATACTGTGTATATTTATTATGTATAAATAAATACAAACACATACATGTATATATTTAAGAAAAAATCTGTTATGTTTATATATTTATATATAATATAAAATATAAGAATATGAATATATAATGTATAAACATGTAAATATTTTCAGAATATATACTGTATGTGTGTGTTTATATATACATAATAAATATGCACAGTACGTTCATATATATAAGTTTTGTAAACAAAAACTTTTATTTTGGATATGATTAATACTTTGATAGCACTAATATATATATATATATTTGTCATCTCTCTGAAATTAAAAGAATACTGCACATTGTAATCTCTGAGTTAAGTCTATTTATTATCAAAGCACTTGTCAGTAATACAGTTAAAATGAGGAAAATATGTGAATGATTGCATTGCAGGTTGATTTAAGGTGTGCCCCTAAATTTTCTGCTTGTGCTCCTAAATTTTCAATCAGGGGCTACAGTGCTCCTAGTAAAAATAGTTAGTCTGGAGCCCTGTAGAAGGTGCTTGTTTCACAAGTCACAACTGTTCATATATTTTCAAACTAAGCATATAAAAATGTAACCAAGTTCAGAGCATATTCAGATCCTTATTATTTCAAATTTTCAAATGTTTTGTTCTTGCACTCTAATGTATTCATATCTGAATGCTAAAATGCTATTTTAATATCCTTTAAAATATAATTTATTTCTGTGATGCAAAGCTGAATTTCCATCAGCCATTACTCCAGTGTAAAGTGTCACATGATCCTTCAGAAATCATTCTAATATGCTGATTTATTATTAGAATTATCAATGTTGGCAACAGTTGTGCTGCCAAATATTTTTGGGAGAAACTGCAACACTTTTTTTCAGGAATCTTTGCTGAATAAAAAGTGAAAAAGAACCACATTTATTCAAAATATAAATATTCTCTAACAATATAAATCTTTGCTATCACTTCTTAACAATTTAACACATCCTTGCTGAATAAAAGTTTTAATTTATTTCAAAAAAAGAAAGAATAAAAATTTTGATCTGTAGTGTATATTGTTAGAAAATATTTATATTTTAAATAAATGCTCT